TCACTCTCTATTCTCTGACTATCTCTCTTAGCTCTCTATTACTGTCTCGATCTCTATATCGCTGTAAATCTGCATTCTCTCTCTTCATCTGTATCTGCCCTATTATATATTGTCTCATTGAATCTCTATATCTCATTAGCTCTCTATCTCTCTCTCTCTATATCTACTATATATATCTGTATCTGCAATCTCTCTCTATCTCTCTATTATATATTCTTCATCTCTCTCTATCTCTCTCATCTGTTCTCTTCTCTCTATCTACTACTCTGATCTGTTCTCGCTCTCTTATATCTCCTATATATCTCTCGTCCCTATCTTTCCTCTATCTCCCTCTATCTCTCTCATCTATCTATCTCTCTATCTATCTCTATCTCGTATATATCTCTCTATTCCATATAAATCTACTATAGCTATCTCTCTACTCTCTACTCTATCTCTCTCTATATCCTCTCTATATCTCTTATCTGTTCTATGCCTCTCTCATCTCTCTCTCTTCTCTTATCTGTCTCTCATCTGTCATCCTCTTATCTCTCTCTATATCTCGATCTCTATATATCTCTATTATCTGTCTCAGCCTCTCTCTATAGCTATCTTCTCTGTATCCTGCCTCTACTCCCTTCTCTTCTCTCTCTCTGTCTCTGCCCTCTCTCTCTACTCTCTCTCTCTCTCTCTATCCTATACTCTTCTCTCTGTATCTGAATATCCTCTTCTCTCTCTCATCTCTATCATCTATATCTCTCATGCTCTCTCTCTCTCTCTACTCTCTCTCTCTCCTGTCTCTGCTCTCTCTCTCTCTCTATCTCTCTCTCTCTTATCTCCTCTCTCGCTATCTCCTCTCTCTCTCTTCCTTTCTCTGCCTCTCTCTCTCTTCTTCTATCTCCTCTCTACTCTCTACTCTCTCTCTCCTCTTTCAATCTCTCTCTGCCTCCTATCTTCTCTCTCTTATCCTCCTATCGCCTGTACTCGCTTCTGCCCTCTCTCTCTCTCTCTCCTCTATTCCTTTCTCTGACTCTCCTCTCTCTACTCTCTTCTCTCTCGCTACTCTCTCTCTCTCTCTCTTCTGTATTTGCACTACTCTGCTCATCTCCGCTATCTTATGTATATGGCCCTCTATCTCTCTCTCTATCTTGTCTCCTGCACTCTCTCTGCTCTCTCTGTCTCTGGACTATCTGCTCATTCTATCTTCTGTCTTGCATCTCTATGCTCTCTGTCTCTGCTCTATCTTATCTCTCTATATGTCTCTGCCTATCTTATATTACTCTCTCTAATCTCTCTACTACTTATCTCTCTATCTCTATTCTATACCTATATTTGCATATCCATCTATATTATCCGGCGACTCATATATAACAATACTATATATACTCGCTATACTCTAATCTCTCTTATATATCTCTATATATTACATATTATTAGCTCTATTCCACATCTATATATATTACATATATATCTATTGCCTATCGAATATAACATATCTATCTTACTTATATATATACATATTATATACATATCTATAATAATACAGTCTAATATCTCTCATCTATATCTATCTATTCTATTATTATCTTATCTATATCTCATATATTATATTTATTATCTATATATATATATATATTCTATATCTATATACTTATACCTATATATATATTATATATCAGCTATATATATTATATCTATATAATCATATATATCATACTTATACCTATATATAGTATATATATCCTATATATAGATATATCTATATATATATATTTATATATACTTATTACCCTATATTTATATATAATATATATATATATGATATCTATCTCTATATATATATATATCTAAATATATATCTTATACTAATATTATATTATCATCTATATAATTATATATCATATATATATATATAGATATATATATATTTTATCTAATACTTCATACCTATATCTCATAGTAATATAATATCTTAATTTTTAAAAATTAAATTATATATATATATAATATAATATAACTATATGTTATATTAATCTTATCATATATATATATGTATATATCTATGTATATCTATATATATATATATCTGTATATATATATATATATATATATATATATGTATATATATATATCGAATATATATAGATATATATATATATATATTATATATATAATATATACTTATACTTTATATGTATATTATATATTTATATATATATATATATCTATATATCATATTTATATTCTATTCATATATATATATATATATATATATATATACTTATACCTATATATAATATATATATATATATATATTTATATATAATATATTCTTATATAATATATATATCTTATACCTATATATATATATATAAATATGTATAATATATATATATATATATATCTATTAAAAAAATTATATTTATATATATGTATATATTTATATTATTATAGTATATATATATATATATTATATGTATCTCTATTATATATAATCACTTTATACCTATAATATATATATATATATATTATATATATATATATATAGATAGATTATATATATATATTTAGATATATACTTATATACATATATATAATAATATTATATATATATACTATATACTTATACATATATTATATTTATATATATATAGATATAATATATATATATATATATTTTATATATTATATATATTTTAAATTATATACATGTATATATATAATATATCTATATGTCTAATTAATACATTGTATAATATATATATTAGGCATATATATTCTATATCATTATATCTATATATATATATTATATCCTATCTATAGATATATATC